TCGATTCTGACTCATAGCGGCCCCATGTACAACAGAACGAAACACTGCCTGGTCTTGCGCCATCCTCCCAATTGTTGTCATGCTTGAGCCCATTGTTGCAGGAACTGTGTCAATCCATCCTCTTTGCTGCTTATATGCTATATAAATGTTTTCATAGAAAAATTAAACCTTTCCAGATTTTAACGAGGGCAAAACATTTATACTCCCTGATAGGCTTTTATCAGGTCATGTGTAAATTAATGTTAATTTCCTTTGCTTATATCCTGGCCCCAATGCAATAAACATTGTTAGAAATCTTGACATTTTTCCAGACCAAGTAATATCCTGCCTTGAAAGGATTGTGATGCCAAAGATCATTTTAGTTTATTATCGCCTATTTATTAGTTAAAGCATACAAACTAAATACAAATCATTAAACTTAAGGCTTTGAGGATAGAAGATGGAAGAGTGTATGTCCTCTATATTTTGAATATCACACTTTGACAGTAAGCACAATGCAGAAAAATAGGACCAAGCACATAGTCATTTCCCAAACTGTCTCTGAAGGGAAAGAAACAGGATAAAGGCCATATGATTCACAATTCACTTAGTAAGGGAGAAGATGAGTATTGCAAAACTAGTATGTGTAGAAATCTGTTTCTGTGGTTTGATCCTCACCCAGTTCAACCTCATGTCAGCAAGTTAAATCAGTTTATATTTGGAGGAAATACATTCCCCAGTAGCTCCAGTTGAGAATATGGCTTTATGGTAATAAGTATGTGCTATAGGAGAGAGCTCAACATTTGTTTCCCTGGGTAAATTATTACGTTTATTTTGAGACTCCTAACTACAGATTAAATTAGTGACCTTCTGCAGCTAGAAGGAAAATTCTCCGCTTCTTGATGCAGTCAGAGCACTGTCTTCATACTCAATAGCTATGGAGTTGTGGATGTTGTTGTTATTAGCTGTTGTCAAGTTAGAGTCGATTCTGTTCACTCAACAGAATGAAACATTGCCCAGTCTTGTGCCATCTTCATGATGATTTGTGTTTGAGTCCATTTTTGTGACTATCATGTCATGCTATCTCATTAAGGGTTTTCCTCGTTTTTGCTGACCCTTTACTTTACCAAGCATGATGTCCTTTTCTAGCTACTGGTCTTTCCTGATGATGTGTCCGAAGTAAGCAAGTCCAAGTCTCACCACTCTCGCTTCTAAGGAACATTCTGGTTTTATTTCTTCTAAGACTGATTTGTTCATTCTGCTGGCAGTCCATGGTATATTCAATATTCTTCACCAACACCACGATTTGAATTCTTCAATTCATCTTCTGTCTTCCTTTTTCATTGTTCAGTTTTTGCACACCTATGAGGCGACTGAAAAGACCACCGCTTGGGTCAGGGGCACCTTAGTCTTCAAAGTGACATCTTTGCTTTTTAGCACTTTAAAGGGGTTTTTTGCAGCAGATTTTCCCAATGCAATACGTCATCTGATTTCTTGGCTGCTGCTTCCGCAGATATTGATTGTTGATCCAAGTAGAATGAAATCCTTGACAACTTCGATTCGAGTTCCAATGAAGTTATGAATAGCCTCAACTTTCTTCATGAAATAGGGAACCTTTATTAAGGTAACAGAAACGCAAAGCCCCCCCCCCCCCCCGCCACCCCGAACAAAATAAAACGAAAAACAATTGGCTGAAGGCGGGGTTATAAATAAGCCTTAGAAATAACCATAGCCAGGACTTGAATAGGGTTGGAACTCTCTTCCTGTCTCCCATCTTTGCTTTTCTTTTTTATTGCAGACTAGCTTTTTCTGAAATAGAAAGTGGTCATATGGCTCTGGGTAGACAAAAATCATATAAAATGACCAAATACCTCTCTATATGCTGGAAAAGAAACTACAAAGATTCAACCTGTGATAGGACGGGCTTGCCTGGCACTTGGGAGAAGTATGATGAAGGCACAGTTGCCCCAGTGTCCCCATGCATTGTCTTAGTAGGGACCTGGGATCTTAGCCGTGTGTTTCGACTTCACCAGCATCACACCATTCTCACTGATGACATACTGTTGGACTCAGCTCTGTTATTGAGCCTGTGGACCCTCAAGAGATCTTGAATCTCCTCCTCAACATTAAGAAGGCCTTAGATTCTTCTTAGTTTCCCCCATCACAACCAGGAAAGAAAATTTGGGAGTATATGAGAAACTGTAGCTATAGTGGAAGCTTCCAAGGCTTTAGAAAACTTTAATCAACATGCAAATCTGCTAACTCTTGACCAAGGACAAAAAAGAATATACAACAGTGAGAGCCAAAGCTTGAAGGCTTCCTAGGAAAGTTAATAACTCTGCACAACTTCAAAATTAAAAATATTTTTTCAACATTCCAACTCCCTCACCATATCATGAAGAAATTTAATATTTGTTTAAGAAGTTGAAAACAATTTAAGACGTCAATAATTACAAATTATAGTAACTACTTGAGAATTCTGGACCAATAACTAACGTCAGGATAAATGAAGAAGAAATTGAAGTTGTCACGGATTTCATTCTACTTGGATCAACAATCAACGCCCGTGGAAGCAGAAGTCAGGAAGTCAAACAATGTATTGCATTGGACAAATCTGCTGCAAAAGACCTCTAAAAGTGTTAAAAAGCAAAAATATCACTTTGAAGGCTAAACTGCCCCTGACCCAAGCCATGGTCTTTTTAGTCACCTCGTATACATGCGAAAGCTAAACAATGAAA